CTTTTTAACGCTCGATATGTATGTCTCGTGTTATCCGTAACAACTCATATCACTATCAGTCAAAATTTCATTTTAACTGCAACTTTCAATTTCATCGATACCTGGTTCTCTAGTTAAAGTTAACTACTGTTTAGGGCAAACCTGACATTGAATAACGCTGTTTGAACTTCAACTTCCGGTTAGTCTGCAATTAACTGTGAACAACTGGGTCATAGTGTCATAAAATATCGATATTGTGTCACTTTTTACTATTTATGCCAAAACTGGAGAGGAAGTATCGTAATTGAGAAAAAAATCGATATTGATATATTATGTCATTTTGATTATATATAACATGTACATCACGAAAAAGCATGGCACTCATTTCCGACGATCTTTCTGTCTATCGGTCTGTCCGCTAATTTTCACACAAGGTTACTAGTATGCCAAGGATGAAAAATATTTGTAGTTCCTTAGAATTGATGCAAAAGAAAAAAGAAAATTTGTAGGGGTTGAAATTTGAGGGTTAAGGATGGTAGCTTGTGGGGAAAGTATATGAATTGTTTTTGATCTTAGCATATTTATACACTCCCAACCTCGGAAATTCCATACACCTATTAGCCATATTTCACACATCGGAGATTTGCCCGTACATTTGTCTTAGAAACTTAGAATGGTGGAGAAATATTTTAGATCTAGGTGCTCGTGCCTATCAAAGCGAACCGCCTGGTGGACCATAGAACCAAAAAACATACGGAGCTTGCACGAACCGTAACATAACGCTCTACAGAGATGCTGCAGAGATATGGAAAGGGACAACGTTGCCACATGGTCGGTAACTATCAGTAGGGCAGGGATAGAATTTCTGTGGACTAACTGATTGGCCCGTTTGATTGACTAAATACATTTAATTTATCTGTTTGACTTGGCGACATTTTTAAGTTAGGTAATACGGGTGCCAGTCGGATTTTGATGAAATGTTCACACAACATTACTACTATGTCAAGGACGCTCGCCTGAGAAGCGTGTTAGCTATACTTAAAGCGTGAATCGGATCAGATATTTGAATAATAGACCATTATTTGGAGAGGAGGAGGGGTAGAGATGTGGAAATGGGAACGAAACTATCGAGTTTATTCATATGCAGATTGAATTGAGATTGATGTGAGATGGCATTCATCGGACACATGTCAACATCTGAAAGTAAAAAGAAAACTCTTTCTAAAATTGTCATTAATTTAACTATTATCGAACACATATTAGTTATTTTCAGTCCTATTCGTTCATTTTTATATTGCCTGGCTCAAACTCAAATATTTCAGTCCGGCATTGACGCAATTGCTGGTTGACGCTGTCATCACGCACCCAATAAATACCTACTTGATTATACGGCGAATTTTAACTACAACATCCTCATTGAAAGTGTTCTAATCCTCCGCCCTTGACACCCAGGCATTATTTTGATATGTATCAGGTAAAATTTACGAGTAAGGGGCTAATGATCGTTACGGGTTAAATTGATACAGCAGCCATTTTTCACACGTTCGCTAAAAAACAAAAAGTTGGGTTTCATGCACAACAGTTCGTTTCCCAATTAACTTTATAGCGATGCTGGCGAAAGATGAAGATTGATCACAGAGCGCTGCTACTTTTATAATAGTTGCTTGATGGAGCGGTATATTTTAATCAATGGTGCTTGACGTGGTTGAAGCTCATATGATATTATTACTGTTAACACATGTCAACTCCTTCTGTAACTTGTTTGACATTAACCCTCCAGGGTTTGTTGACAAATCCAAATTCTAGATGTGGGGCAAAGCATGTCTATCCAAAATCTTGAAAATGAACTATTCAACTTGGCTACAAGTTTCGTGGATTGATGATGACCATAAAGCAGTGAATGTACGGAAATGTATACGGCAACATAGTGCGTGGGATCACATGATGACCACAATCGATTGATGCATCGATTAATTAAGTAATTTTAGTTTCGTAAACTGTGCATTGGAACGAAAAACTCCAAGAGACAGTTTTTAAGTAGAATCAATATGGTTTTAAGACATACTAAGTTTTTCAAAAAGAGAGATTTGCCAGCACGAACGCCACTAATGTAAATGATTTAAAAACATTTTTGTATATGTTAGTGTGATCTGCAATGCCAAAACATTTTTTCAATTTGTTTTTTTGGAGAATGCAAGATGTACAAGTTCAAGCGCCCTAACATATGAAACGGATTATTTCCAAATCCATTCTTATATTAACTGTCTTTCATATTTTAACATGCTGAATCTGCCATTCATTCCTCCCGACAACATTCTTTAATATGCTGTATGTGTAAGACTTGTGGGGATTAGCGTCGTAGCTACAATCACTTGTAGTTGCAGGTAATACAGGTAATGTTGACCATAACCCGTTGCTCTTTAATTTTCATGCGCCGGAATATCTTCCTGAGACCATCAATTCCTTTTTCCCACTAGACAAATTACCAAGTCCGTCATTGCTTCATCCACGTCTAGATTAGTCTACGCGTGGCCTTTGGTCCGGATGTTATTATTACGTATTAACCAAAGAGTAGGTAAGACGAATAAAATTAGAGAGGTATAAGAGATGACTCCAGAAACATGCGGTCCATAAAACAGCTGATGACGTCTAAACATCTAAACACAGCTGTTCTCATTCTATCGGTAATACTAGTAAACGCGTTGTTGCCAGATAGATAATCCTTTTTAAATGAATTTACTGTTGTGACAGCACTATTGCAAATTTACTTTTGTTTAGACATTTATTAATGGTATCGATATTTATCATCCATTTGCAACCTACGAAATATATTTCTCAATCAGCAAAGTTATGAATCACACTTTTCGCCGAAGAAGCCATTCTCAAAACATGTAGGTCATTACATAGTTATTCATCTTTAGAGCCCTACGCAGAATACTACACAACTTAGTTTCGTGATAAAAGAAGTACATCAGGTTGGAATTCAAAAGCTGTCTAAACTCAAATTGCTTATTTTACCAATAGTCGATATGTTTATTTCGTATGACTTTTTAACGTAACCATCAAAAATCGCGAAAAGAGCTGAACTCCATTTTGCTTAGTCTAAATGTAGCGTTTCATAAATATTTTATGACAACTTGGCAACACCGCTTAAACTGGTGATGGAGTCACTTGTTTATTGATTTACTTACTCAGGAGTATAGGAGTGTTAAAATGCTTATCTTTATATACTAAGTGACATATAAATCCGAACACCCAGTTTAAATGTTTTTATTCTAATAAAATTTTGTATAAGTACTTAATGAAGCATAATAAGTAAATGATAAAAATTTCAAAATGATTGCACTGCTTTAAAGCCCTTTGATCTTTAATAATGTGTGGATGCACCCTGATGTGCTACGCATTCTCCAACGTGCCTAGGCATGCTTCTGATCAGGTGGTCAATGTGCTCCTGTGGTATCTCATTCCAGGCAACCACCAACTCCTCTCGAAGTGCTTCTAGAGTCTGAGGAGGACGTTGCAAATTGAGCAATTTCCTACCCATCATATCCGACACGTGCTTAATTGGGGATAAGTCGGGAGATCTTGGTGGCCATGGTAACAATGTGACATCATTATGTTGAAAGAAGTCTATTGTGACTCTTGCAACATGTGGTCGGGCATTATCTTGTTGGAAAGTTGGATCTGCCAGGGTGTCAAGATAGGGTAAAAGATGGGGTTCTAGAACTTCGTGGATATAACGCTGCGCGTTCATGTTACCTCTGATGAAGATTAAAGGTGACCTGGAACCATAAGCTATAGCACCCCAAACCATAACTCCAACAGTGTGATGAACATGTCTTTCAACAAAAAACTGTGGATTCCACCTTTCACCACGTCGCCTTCTAACCCTGGCACGACCATCGTGCATGCCTAAACAAAATCGAGACTCGTCACTAAAGACAATACTGTTCCATTCCTGATCCCAGAGTGACCGTTGTCTGCACCACTCAAGGCGATTACGTCGGTGTTCTCGAGTTAAAGGGAGGACCCAGTGTGGCCGGTATGAAAACAAGCCAAAACTTCTCATTCGTCGGTAGACACTTCGCATTCCAATAGGTCTTCCGTGTTCTGCAAACCATTCATTTGCAATGGACCTGGTAGTGGAGAAACCATCCCTTAAGGCCAATAATCTTAGGCGGCGATCTTCACGGACTGTTGTTCTACGGCGGCTTCCAGTGCCCCTTGCTCTTTGCGTACGGCCTTCTCGAAGCCATGCCTGACAACACCTAACCACAGTGTCTACACTTCTTTGCACTCTAACTGCAATTGCCCGAAAAGAAAGTCCAGCTTCCCGAAGTGCCACTATACGGCCCCTATCAAACTCACTAAGTTGACGAAATCGTACAGGTCTCCGTACTCTAGGCATCGTAACCGATCGTAAAGGATGTCAAGAACCAAAATCCGCCAACGTTGATTCTTTACTGCGGCTGAAATATTCATTTTTAGAGCGTTAGTGAATTAAAAAAAAGCAGTATAAAAACCGGAATGTCCAACTGATAAGGCTGAAAATTTTTTCACTTGTTATTTACAGTAAGATAAATACATTCACCAACTTTTATTAAAATAAAACCATTTAAACTGGGTGTTCGGATTTATATGTCACTTAGTATAGAATTATAAGTAAATAGTAAATAAATAAACTATAGATTTTTTGGAACAAACAAGTATCGGTTAGTAAACAATGGCGTCTCTTAATGTTTTGCTGCGATTAATTCAAAACCGCTTATTGTAACGCATGGTCGGAACATTTTTTTTAATGAGGGTTTTGTAGACTAACCTTTCGGCCATTTTGCGCTAAGTACACCGATCTCGGCCATTGCGCGCTGTCTCTACCCAGTGGAAAAAGCGAGTATTAGTATTGACCTAGGCTGGGCATCTGTGAACAGAGCACTTTTGAGCCACCTCCGACATGGCGTCTCAGAATTAGTATCTAATTATTTCTTTTGATACAAATGCGTCTAATTATTATTTTCATGCAGATCCGCAACATGGACAAGCACGGTACCCGCGTGTGCCTGGACTCACCTGCAAAGCGGAGCGACTTGCACCGCCCTGCCGGGTTGTACCCGTGCCATCATCAAGGCGGCAATCAGGTAAAGTATCATTTCGGACTTTCTAACCTTGATATCGTGTGTTGCAGATTGCATTGGCCAAGAACCGAGCCGTCTGTCTGGACAGCGCCTGCAAACCAGAAGACTTGTACAAACCCGTCGGATTGTGGCCTTGCCATGGCCAAGGCGGCAATCAGGTACCACCCAACACTATACTCAACATACACATGTGTACATTTGTAACAAATAGAGATTTGATGTTTTTAAACCATATTTTTATCGTAACTATCTTGAGTGCAATGGCAATCATGTATAATAGAAATTGTTGGATGGCGTTTTCATTCGTTTCTAGGCCCTTCTCAGGATTCTCTAAACCAAAATACATACAGATTTCGCTAGCCAAATAAGCATTCCTAAAAAAAAAACAAAAGTATGAGAACTTTTGTTTCATTATTGTAGATTTATCCTACAATTTCTAATTTATCATAAGTAATTTATATTTTCTCAATTAACTACATCTTTGCATTTTTTCATCTTCCACTATTTTATGAATGCATTTCCGTCCCTTAACAAGATGGCGCATATCACTATTGTTGTTACCATACTGTAAACTTCCATTTTATTCGATAGTTGTCTTTTTTATTTACTCACTGTGTTTTCAGAATTACCCAAAAAAAAATTGTAGATGGACCACAAAAAACTGTCTATACCGAACGCCTTTCAACGATTGGTTTTATTATAATGTTTGACAACCCCTCAAAGATGTCTGAGATATAAATATGGTACCGTTAAATCATGTGGGTAGCATCGGTCAGTCTGTATGGTAGAATCGACAAAATTTTCAAAACAATTTTTTATTCGTGATTCAAAAAGATATCCCATAGGTATATAAAAAAAGATTTACAGACTGATCTACCATTTCCACTGGGCACTCAAGATCATCTTTCAATATGTTTATGACATGCATTAAAATTTTACTGAATCTACAAATGTCATAATTGAAATGTTCCTCATTCCTTTTGAAGATTATGTTCACTTGTATGGACTCAAACGCTCAGTGGCAATGGTTGGTGTATGGTAGTGGTGTACATAATGTATTATTTGGACCAATAGAATTCAAAGGTAGATTTGACAAACCATATATAGTGGACAACATTTTTGAGTGTCGGCATCATAGATCTGTCAGCTTACATAAATTTTGTACATACTTATTACTGTCCATTTAAGCTTCTTATATCCAGATCCCTTTGTTAGCCATTCGAGATTTTTGACTATTGGTATTTGCTCTTCTTGAATCAGTGTTTGGTACACTCGTGTACGTCACATAACGTCATTGGGACCTCAGAACTGTAAGGTAATATGAGAATTCTTCTAAAATCGGTCATATTTTTTTATACGCGACCTGGAAATTTACATATATTTCAGATTTTAAACTGTCGATAACATAATACGTATTGTTTTTATGAACTTAAAATGTTTGAAATAGTAAAGGTTTTATTGATGTATGTATGTAATCGAATAACATGTGATAAGCCATCATTACCAAGCTAACGAATTATTAATTTTCTGAAATAATTGAGATTTGGCAATGTCAACGTATTTCTGAAATTAGAATTTAAAGCTCTAGCCACCTTTGCAAACATGTGTCCACAAGAAAAAAGAAAATGGATGATGGAGGACAAAAGACGAAACGTCAAATAGAACTTGTAGAAGAGAAAAAGTGGCAACCTTAATAGCACATCATTTTGAATCCTCATATTGAATAAAGTTACAGAAGAATAAGAAAGATTTTTTGGAAAAAGTCCAAGTGCACTTTTTCCCCCTTCAATTGACTTCCTGTATCTTGAATTCTTTCCGAGATCCCAATGGTGACGGTCAAATTTGTATCACCCGTTATTTCCAACTCATATTTCCATTTTTGTTCACCGTGTAGTAACTGTATTTTATCAAAAAAGTTTGTTGTTACCTGATTTTTATGTTAAATACACTCATTTGTGATATATTATACCGTTTTTCTTCCCAGCGATTTAGGTTTTTTTACTTAGGAAACAGAATTAAAATATTGAAAGAAATATTTCATTGGGGCTGCTAATCATATGGTTTGCCAACCTACCTATACCCACCCGGTAATGTGTATGTCTTCTTGGTTTGCGGGCTGCTGCTTTTTTCTTTTGTTTATTTTATAATTCCAATACTAGTCCTATCCCTGTAGCTCCTTACCCTAATTGTACTTATTTATTACCCTTTAATTTACTTCAACATTCCAGGACATATTCATGTAGGTATATAACAAACACACTCTACCTTATTTGTGTATAGCATGCTCTAGGATAATGGTTACGCGTCTATTTCCTGAACATTTTCTATTTTCGACAAAAGTGAACTATTATGATTTTATTTTATTATTTACCCCGTTTGTTCCGTATTTGTTGAGGTGTGTCAGTACGCTGCATTTTAAGCAGAAAGTGAGTTGGGTCTTAACTACAGTGAAAGAAATACCGCTATTGAACAGGTCAGTGTCAATTTGACATCAAATCAAATATGGTATCAGATGGACAGTGACAAATGAAATTTGACATCCATATTAAGGATTTCATTTCCTGAATGCGGCCAATGTTTGGTGATTCGCTATTTTGGTCCGTGATTCATCAACAAAGTCTCTTATTTTCAACGTTCCCCTCCAGCTTCTTATGCTCGAATATTATGAATACACTGAGAAAAAAAAATTAATCAAACCAATTAAAATTTTAATTATGCGAATCAAAAAATTTAGTCAACTATGTGACAGCTAACAAGTTTAATTAAACAGTCCAGCTGAACTATACTTTAGCGCAAAACGCAAATATTACATTTCTTATTTTAAAATCAAAGATTAGGATGTAACTTGCACGAAAATATAATTTTTTCTTTAAGGAGCCCTCTGCTTCCTATTTTATAGAACTTCAAAGTTGCATTTTGTGTGGTAATACTGTCGTATAGAATACTGCTTTATAAGCTGTTTTTTTCTTGTTTCCACAAAAGATTGCTCAAAATTATATGAATGTAACATGCAATGTAAATTACTGCAATTTTGCATTATTTTAATGATGAAAATAGTTCATTGTTAAGTAGTAATTTCTTTTATTTCAGATAAATATTCCCATGACTACACTACCATCACTATCCTACTCTCTCCAACTAGTTGCGATGTTACCAAATCGTTGATATTTATATACCCTAATTTGGTTTGTCATATTCTTATTTATATACTAGCGCAAAAATGTGCAATCGGTACAGGATTGTCATTAAAATGCGGCTTGGAGGTGTGGCCGTCAAGGTTTACTGTACTAAATCCACTTTGTGCCCTACCATGGCGTTAGCTAGACACTTTTTTGAAGAATGCCTTATGCCCTTCACAAAAGTACTTCGGTTATTGTTTTTTCTACATTATAGTTATAATCTATTTACTTTTTGTATGTATGTACTTGAAGAATTATTTAAAGTGAAGCTGATGTCACAAAATATACCTAATTAAATGTGATCTATATGAGAAATAACTGGAAAAGTAGCTGTCGCCAATCACTAAATAATGAAAACATAACATAGTACATTGCAAGTTCTGTGATGATTTGATGAAATGATCGTTGATCTTTATTTAACTATAATGTTGGACGATGATATGTTGGGTGGACCTAGCGAGGTGTTTCAAATCGACGATTCGAAGTTGAGTTTTTTTATATGCAGTGACCGCTGGTGCATTTTGTATTTTCTATGTCACGCGAGCCGCTGGTGAATTTTCCACTTTTTAGACACATACTGTTCAAAATTTCATCTAGTTTTCGGTATCTAAATATTGGATCAACTTCTCATAAAACAAGCCATTTATAATAAATTGAGACTTTTATTTTGCAAATAACCTCATATTTTATCACGTATTTCTCCCAAAAAAGGTACAACTTGGCAACAATGGACATCATTTTTCTTATTTGTCAAGAAATGAACGTTATAAAATGGCCATTCAGAATTGTTTGTACTTTCAAATATTTATTATAAACGCAAAAACTTTGCTCTTATTGAAAATACGCAAAAAAAATGTTTAACGAATTTCAAGAAGACTTTGAAAAATTACAACACAACACCTCTACACAGTTTACCAAGTAAATACCATTATTTACGTATGTATTGCGAACTGTTATTTTAGCTAATAAGCTAATGTGTAATAACACGGCTGATTTTGAACCTTTTTTGCAAAAAACAACGATTTTTCACAGTTTCACATCTATTTTCCTTAGTACTATACAGTGTATATTATATTCTTATAATTTAGATTAGAGCATCATTTTGTGCAACAAGCAAAAAAAAACGTGTAAAACAGTATTCCATTCTAGAGTATTACCATCAAAAATGCAACTTTGAAGTTCTATAAAATATCAAGCAGAGGGTTCCTTAAAGCAAAGATGATATTTTCGTGCAAGTTACACATTAATCTTTCATTTTAAAGTAAGTAATGAAGTATCTACGATATGTGCTAAAGTGTAGTCTTACCAACAGTTCACTTGAATTGATGAATCTAGTTTAATTAAACCAAAACGCAATCGTTTGAAGTGCAGGACTCCAATATACGTGGGAAGTGGGCAGTAGTAACACACGGTTTCGGGGACTCACTTTACTCAAACTTTACAAACAAAAATAATCTAACAGATCAAACTCAAACAGATGTAATACATTCGACGGTTGGCGGCCGACTGCCGCGTCACTTTCGGTTCAAGGTGAACCACTTCCATCGGTCTTAAGGCTACGGTCAGTCCAGACATTATTAAGGCTACGAAGATCACTCGCGCACTACATCACCCCCTATTATATCTGAGGGATTACATTCCAGAAGATATAATACCAAACACTAACCTAATTAAACTAAACCTAATTTACAATTGGTCAGGGGTAGGGCAGCGCTTATACAATTTTAAGTTTCTAATGTTCTGAGGGCCTACATTGACACCTTCTATATTCTTTAACATATAAGAATTGGGTCCAACTATGCGCGACACCACATATGGCCCATC